TATGTATATATATATATATATATTGTCACATGAATATCAGAGCGCAAATGCGAAAAAAAGAAAAAAGGAGAAAAGAAAACCAGGGAAAATTAAGTTCAGTTTTTATCTTTTTCCTTATAACTCCCCCTGTTCAGAACTTCTTGCGTACAAGGCCGCCCACGTGGATGTAGGTTGAGCGGCGGCTGCCTCCACCCCCGTGTGTCATATCGACCCACTTGCACACAGCCAAAAGGCAAAGAGGCAAAGAAGAGAGGAAGGGAACAGCTAAATGAAACAAATAGAACAGAGGGAAACAAAGCAGCTCCCAGATGTCAAGTCCCACATGCAAGCACCGCCCGCTCCGTCAAAGGCCAAACAACGGGACAAGACCACCCAGGACAAGACATAAAAAAACGACGATCCACAATGTGACAACCAAGAAAAAAGGAGAAGACAATCCCGGATGACGATTCCCACATACAAGCACCGCCCCGCCTCTCAAAGGGCCGAACAACGGGAAACAACCAACCAGGATGCCAAAAACCCCGAATGGCCGGTCCCACGTGAAAGCAAAGCCACGCGCATAAGATAGCCCGAAGAACGCGACCAAACCAACCGAGGTACAGACAAAATCAGCAAAACAAAAAAAGACTCCAATCCACAATGTGACAACCAAAAAGAAGGAGAAGACAATCCCGGATGACGATTCCCACATACAGCACCGCCCCGCGCTCAAAGGGCCAAACAACGGGAAACATCCAAACCAACCAGGATGTCAGAACACTTGCCTGCAAAACGATAACCCGATAACCAATCCCACATGAAGCACCGCCATSCCTCCTCCCTAAGATAGACCAAATAAGGGGACAGAATCAACTGGAATGGAAGCAGTCAAGATTCTCATTCAAAAGAAACATTCTACCAAAACCATAGTTAAAAAAACGGAACCATACAGTAGGTCCGCAAAACAAAATACCCCTAAACAAAGGGGGAAAGGCAATAGGAACAAATATGGGATAATAGGACAAGGATTATTTTCTACCATAGCCAAAGAAGAGCCTGCTAGTATATATATATATATATATCGTTACAAATATATATATATATATATATATATATATACATGGTTGCCAGGCCGAACGTACGGAGGACCCTACGCTGACCCCCGAATGTTAGGGCGTACGGGGCCCGAACTTGAAGGGGTTTTAACCCCACAAAAAAATATTTTGACACCTAAATTTTTCTGAAGTTTTTTTTTTGAGTTCTTCGTTACGTAAGGTATCTACCTCTGAATTTTGAAGTCATTCTGTTCAGCCAAAACAAAATGATAAATCCTCAAAGATGGTGGTGTCGAAACTTGCTTGCCCATTCACTGATTTGTCTTTTTTTTCACTTTTTGTTTTCCCTTTTTTTCGGGGTATGAAAAAAAATATTATTTTTTCAAACTTTATTTGTAGATTCTGTATTATGTAAGATACACATATATAAATTTTCATGGCATTTGTCACAGCCAAAAAAAAAAAAGAAAATCGCCAAAGATGGTGGTGTCAAATTCGTGCTCGGCCACTCAATAATTTCATTCTCGTTTGATTTTTTCTAATTTTCATTATTATTATTTATCTTTGGTATTTTATTTTTATTCAAATTTGGTAAAGAATTTGGATGTAACGTTTAGGCAAATGTTGTTTAATTTATTATTCTGCATAACAACATATAGTTTTTTCATATTTTTTGGAATCGTTTTTTTTTTTTTTTT